CTCGCGAGCTGGTGGAAAACGAGTATCTCGGAAAAGCGCGACCATGGAGAGCGGCCAAAGGGCTCAGGTTTGGCTGGCGCCCCTACGAGCGCGCGTTTGCGCGAAATACCAGATCGAACCGAGCACAATGAAGTTCCCAGTCCGCACGCTCGAATTTGCAATTATCGACGCTGCTCGTTGCCGAGTCGAACACTTACTTAATCAACACAGAAAGAGAAAGAGACACACACGATCCTACTTGTAATTCGCTACTTGTACGTACACGACATACGGTGTCTAAAGCTTCTAGTTCTACGTTAGTCTACAAACAACATTGGGAGGGGGGGGGGGGGCTACCTTGTCTGTTCTTTCTCGGCGTTTTTACGTTTTCTTCTTTTTCTCCCCCCTCCCCACAAAACAGTCTCCGCGTCGCAAACGTTTTTCCCCCAGTTTCCTCTTTCAAACAAGGCTCGCGCACACTACCAGGAGCGGCATCGCGAGATTAATGGAGATCGAGTAGCTCCGCACGCGCTAAACGCGTCGGAAAAGACGAGAGAGATCCACTACGTCGTAAGCCGAGATCTCGACGAAATCCGTCGCGGTTTCTCGGCGCGGCCTCGGGCGAACGAATTAGTTAAGCCGTACAAGCAACATTCGCGATTCGATCGGGGGCGAACGGGCGCGGTTCAGCTGCGTTCTCCATCGCGCGGTTTTCTCGCGCGCGGCCGATGCTATCGAACAAATTGCTCGCGCGCGTTACACTCCAATTCTCGGTCGCGCGATCTCGGACGCGGATCCGCGCGCGAGTTCCGCTCGGGTTCTCGCGTTTCGCCAGCGCGCGCTCGTCCTGTCAGAAACACCCTTTTACGTTTTCGTAACCCCCCTCTCCCGAAAGACGCCCCGTCGCGCTACTCGGACAAACGGCAATGATCGTCGAAGCTTCCCCGCGGTGTCGACGGTCTGAACACGCGAGCACTCAGTAAAGTGGATTAAAAGTGGAAATTGAATCTCGTGAGAATGTTGAAATGCAAAATGCAAGATTTAATATCAACGACAAATTACAAGTAACCTAAAGTCGCATAGGTTTTTACATAGGGTGCATCCACTCTACAGTTCTCCCTGAAACAGACAGTGAGCTCCGTACGAATGAGGATATTATTGGGATGATCATCAAGAGAGAGAAAGAGATAGAGAAAGAGAGAGAGAGAGAGAGAGAGAAAAAAAAAAGAGAGAGAGAGAGCAAGGGAGAGATATGTTAATGAGTGCGATGATCGCGCGATAACAAGGGTAAGGATAAGCGGGCTTAAAGGTACTTACTCGTCCTCCCACGGGCATACTTCGTTAACATTATTGTCACGCTTCTCCTGAGGCACCGCCTGAGCCGCCGATCGGTCTTCTTCTTCCTGTCGGGTGTCCGGCTCCCAGACAGGCACGACCTGCGCATCCTCCGGCGGCTCCTCAGTCGTCGCCGATTCCTCGGCCACCGGCGACACATCCGCCCCGGTGTCGGCTCGCGAGTCTTCGCGGGCGCTTCTTTCTTCGGCGACGATCTCCCCCGCGTCCTTCGCCGTGCAGCTCTCGCTCGCGTCCTCGTCGGCGTTCTCTATCGTGGAGTTGTCGCTCGGCAGATCGCCCACGATCGCGCTGATGCTGATCAGGGGCGCCTTCGCAGTTGTTCTGGGACTGGGGTTATTCGTCTGTTGTCAGTTTCGATGCTTCTTTCGCGCCAGCGTCTCGGGAAATCTCGCGGAGAGTATCGGTGAGCTTGAACGCCGTCTTACCTGCTACTCGATTGGCTCTCCTTCGCGACGACAGGTTCCGCGAGCGTCTCCTCCTCGGGCACGATCATCTCCAAGGACGACTTCTCTTCCACCTTCTCGACCACGTGAGAGTACTCGAATGATTGCTGGGGCGACGGATAATTGCAAGACGAGACGGACGCGCGACTCGTTTCGGACAGTCTGATGCGGCCGCTCGCGGAGCAGGTCGAGTAGTTCCGCGTCATCATGCCGGAAGTCGGCGCACCTGAAGTCGGGAGGGACGGAAAACGGTAGTTTAGAGATATGCACCGCACAATTGGAGACAGTTACGCGCTGTTTTAATTAGGACTATTAATCTTCGCTAATTTCAAAAGCTTCGGAGGAAACTCCAAACTTTCGAATTTTGGTAAGCCATAATCTCGAAGATATTTTCAAGGGTTGCGTTCTTTGCGCTTTGAAACTTCGGAAGGTGCACACGGAGAAAAATAATTCGAAAAATAATTAGGTGCAGCGAATTTTATGTTGTCGCAGCAAAATCTGCCAGTTACTGTGTGAACAGTAGAATTATTTGTTAAGAATACTAATTGCCAATTGGGTTATTTTGCTGAATCTACAAATTATTTTGTCGTAAGAACAGATTAATGAATTGTAGAAAAACACTATTTCACTCCAACAGCAAATTAACGTGTCCTAAGGATTCATCCAGGAAATCCACTTAACAGGATTTTTCTATCCTGACAACCAAACTGTTTTCGCTCTAATTATGAATAATTCGCTAATTTGGTTACACCTCTTTGTGTTTTACAAACGACATTAAGTTTCGGATTCAAATGACGTTTTCTTATATTTACAAAATCTTCGAATTCAAATATTCCGAAGTTTTGATATTTTCCAAATTCGAACGCTGAAACTTCGGATTGCAAATTTGCACGTCGAAATTTCAAATGTTCAAACGAAAGTTGAAGTTTTCGAATGATAACACCGGCCTTAATTTTAACGATTCGCGTGTCGATTACTAACCTATGCTACCGCTATGCTGCAAACTGCACGACTTCCGCAGCCGTTCGGACACCTCCGCGATGGCGAGACTGACGTCCGACGACGAGCTGCAGGAGTCCAGTTGCGCCGAGTTCTTGCGAGAGGCACGCGCGGCCTCGGCGGAATGCGCGATCGTCGCGTGACTGCCGCCGCTGTCCCACACGTGTCGGGTCTGATCAGCTGACGCTGTCCCGCCAGAGGACATCGCCGCCGCCGCCGCATTGCCAGCATCCGCCGCGTGTTCTGTGCTCGGGCCCGGCGCGGTGTCCCATGGGCATACGTCGTCCATAGGGCGAACCGCCACTTCCGTCGCGCCAGCATCCCTGACAACAGGAACTTTATTATATGATTTAGTTTTCACCGTTTGCTTTCGGCAAGATACCACGCGCTTTGTATGTGTGTGTGCGTGTGTATGTGTGTGTGTGTCTTTTTGTCAACGTCAGTCGATAGCATGCATGCGGCTCCATTCAACGACTAGGGGAAGTTCGGCTTTCTGCACACGTGTGTGTCTGCGGAAGGTGTCCCGGAACTATTCTACTCGAGAGAGATTCATAAATGAGAGAAGGACGCGCGCGATGGTTCCGGGACATCCCGTACGGATCTGGCTCGTGTGTGTCTTCGTGGAGTTTGGATTCTCGAACGGGTCTTTGTCGCGCATTACGGCGGATGTTGAGCTTGATGTTGAGAGAGAAGTTCTCAGGTGGTCGTTAGATGAGACATTTAAGAGATAATACTTGACGATATATAACGGGAAAATTGCGGTATATGTGTGTATATATATATATATATATATATATGTTTATATGATACTTTTCATACTGTGCAAGAGAGTCAGTGTGTGCTCGACAAGTATATCGTACGTATGTGTGTTGCGTAAAATATTATATATATATATATATGTAAATACAGAGGAAAATAATAAGCTTGATACGAACGGCACAATATCGACATCAAGGCAATAATAATACAGAGAGCGCCTCAAAATATCATCTGGGTCAACGAGAATCTCTCAATTCCCTCTTCAAGAAGAAAGAAACACACGGATATATAGGCGTATATATTTCGCATCGTAAATTCCACGCGTTTGACGCAAATCTTTTGAGACACTCCGCGCACGACAGCACTTGATAGTATTCAGAAACACTCAGAGATTTCTTAAAAGGGATCAGAGAACGGGCAATGATCGTCATACAGTACAATTACCAATGATGATACACTGCTTTTACATACATCTCAGTGAATTTTCCATAAACGCAACACGATTTCTCTGACAGTGCGAGAATTTTCAAACACACCGAAATAAAGGGATTTGCCAAGGTCGGATGCGAACGTATAACGTGGAGCGCGTACAACGGTGCATCATTGTAACGTCAGATCGCTTCCTCCCCCTCCTCCCTGCCCCCTTCTCGCTCTCTTTTCATCCCGTCGTGGCTCGCTTCTGGAATGAAAATTCTGAAACGCATAGCGAACGTCAAGTATGTCCTCCCGAATCTTAAACTGGAACAAGGTTATACCTCTGAAGCTCATATAAGAAAAATGGAATTTGAAATTAACAAGGCGTACTTAACGTTCACTGTGCGTCCAGGATAAGACTCCTGATTCGAAGCGCCGGGAATACGGCGGAGAGCAAGCGAAGGGAGGAGCGCGAACGGACACTGCCGGACGCACTGTTATTCGCTCCTACTCTCTAAATTTCATGGAGTGAAATCTCATTCAAACCAAATGAAAAGTGGCAGTATTCTCACTCGAAGCGACAGTGAAAATATCGCCACTCGAGATCGCAAGAATGAACGTTACGTTCGAGCTTAGAGGGGGACTCCGTGCGAGCGAACGTTCTCAATCGATTAGAGTGAATATGTTCCCGTGACGGTGTCAGATTCACTCTTTAGCTTCGAGTGAAAGTATTCACTCGGCGATTCAGAATGGAGGATTCACTCGGAATGAGCGAGAAGCCGCTCTCGAATTCGAGCGACTCTCAAGCCATTCTACTTCCCGAGACCGAGACTTCCACTCCGGGAAATTTCGAGAGTACATCTTCTATCGAGGAAACCGTGGTTATGTATCGGGTGACTTACTGAATACTATGTGGACTAGGCCTCGAAGGTATCTTTACGAGTCGTGGTAGATCTCCCCTGAAAATACCGCACGAATAAGCCTATCATCGCGGCTACGCCCACCCGGTGCCGCGTGTAAGAACAGCATGCTAAAGCAAAAGAATAGCATCCCGCCGGCTCGCCGAAGATATATATATATATATCCTATATATATATACATATATATAACGCACGGAGACCCACGGGCCCCAACCCCCGCATACCTGTATGGGATGTCGGTGAGGTTCGATTGGCTGTGGGAGTGCGGTACTCGCGGTGCGGAAGTGATGTCGCGCACCCCGCACACAGCGAGCTCGTGGGCGCTTCCGGTCAGGCTGCGGTCGCTTCCTCTTCGCCTGCCGCCACCGCCGCTGCCGCCGCCACCGCCACTACCTATGTTAGCGTGCTGCAAAATGCTAGACGTTGGAGTCGAAGTAGAGGAAATTTTCTTCTTCGCTTGGCCGCCGAAGCCGAAAAATCTGAGGAGGAGAGAAAGAGAGCGAAACAACGTGAGAGACCGTGATGGAGATCGGTCGCGCGCGTTAGTCGGCTTTTCCGCTCGTGTAGTGGCGTACCTCTTCTTTTGCAAAGGTTGCACGCCGGCAGCTAAGAGATTACGATACTGATCGGAGCGAATAAATCTAGGATAGCAGTCCTTCTTCAGGAGTAGGGTATATACATGCTCCGCGGCGGAATCGAACGTAAATCTGCTCGGATTTTTCATCTCCTGATGAACCTTCTCCATCGTTTTCCCGTCTATGTTGATTTCGCAGGGAGCTCCGGGCGCCAGGAATTCTCTGCACGACAAAACAAGTTCGTTTAGACTCCTTCGTTTTTCCTTTTCCTTCTTACCGGAAGATCGAGATACGACGAATATGCGTGTATTTTCGCGTTATTCCGACGGGGACGTACCTAAAAATTTCGTTGACTTTATCGGGTATTTGTGCTTGAAAACTGTGCCTGAGATCTTTAACCGCCAGCCAAAATCTTATGTTCTCGTGGCTGTACTCCTTTCTCAAGTAATTCGTGAACTCTTGTAAACCTGCGGACACAAGCGCGAGAACAGCGTAAATTCGTAAGTATTGCCGCCGGCGAACGCGACTCACGGCGTCGGTTAATGCGATAAGCGGAGTCGTACCTGTAGGATCAGACATCAGCTCTTCCATCGACAGCGCCCATCGCTTAACACGCTTCTCCGTAGGAACTTCCACTCTGAACGCGCGTGCCAGAAAATAATAAATCGTTAGATTCGCGTTCCGCGCACTCGTTTTGAATGAACACACCTACACGGAAAAAATGCTACTGCGTATCAACAGAACTGGTCAACGGCGCCGGTAATTGGAGTAAAGCTTCTCCATTCCAATAACAATGTTATTGAAACGAATACCCGATATATTGAAACAACGTATCGTGTGTTACTTTCATTAATATCGCTATTAAATCGAGGAGATTTATACGACGTCGTTGAGAGAGACCGATTCTATCGATACACGGAAAAAAAAGTCAGATTCTAGGAAAGGATTACTCCAACACTTCCTGGCAAATTTTTACCTGGATTAAATATTACTTGAATATTAAATGATAGTTGAAGCAATCATTTACTTTGACGTAGCACTTTTTTTTCTGTATACAACAGCGTTTTCTCCCCATGCGTGAAATCTTGACCGAAGCACTCACAAGGGGCTATTCAGTTGCCAGAACATGTGATCATCGGTGATCCATGGATTGGAAGGTTGCGGCTGTACAAACATCGGGTCGTATTCCACGTACGTTTCGAAGTATGATTTAAAATTTTCAATCGCAGTCGAGACCTTGATCCTCGTGCGTGTCAAACTGTTCCGTAGAAGGGCCACCTGAGGGAAGAAAGAGACGCAAACGGTTTGAGTAGCGAGAGATACCGGGAGAGATACTCGAGATGCGATAAACGGCTGCGTTCGGCAGAGAAAGAAGCTCAGTGAGCGATTAGTACTTGTGACTGGAGCATTCTGTCAGCTTCTTGATAGATTTAGAAGAACGTACCAATCAGAAGCAATAATCATTGAGCGCTCACTGAGTTACTTTTTCCGTTGAACGCAGGCAATGACGAGCCGTGGACGATACACGGCATGCGCGTTCACCTCACGTTGCAGATCGGTTAGAGTGCGTTTGCGTGACGGAGGTCGTGGAAGTCCAGGACGAAAACGAGTAGGTACGGGCACAACTTCCAGGCTGCTGAGACATCCGGGTGGTGGCCGATATACTCTCCAAAACGCTCGTTCCTGCGAATCGCTCACTATCTTATCTCCCTTTTTCCGCTCCTTCGACAGCCGTACCTGAGCCCACACAATCAACAGCATTTCAAGGAGTCACGTGCTCGAATATGCGGAATTGGAATTACGCGGGAACATATGTGGGCGTGCGGTTAATCCGTTATCGTTGGCAAATAACGAATACCGGATCATAAACAAGAACGGATAAATATTCACCTGTTCCTCGGCTTGGAGTTGTATGATGTCCCACTTGTTCTGCAGATTCTTGCGCAGGCTGTTCAAAGCATCCTGCGGGGAACACGATTTTTCGTGAGAAAGAAAATCGCCAAATTGTAGATATTTGTTATTTCTATTTTTTGTTTTCCATTACTACACAGAGGCTACGTACGATCTCATAGTCCTCGAGAGCGTGACGTTGTTTGTTCCTCAGGGTTCGCTTAGCCAGATAGATCGCGTACTCCACGTTGTCGGGGGTTCTATGTTGCCACGGCCAATAATAAGGTGTCTACGTGTATCAATTAGACGAGAAAATTAAAGAATTTCGCAAGAAAGCCGGAGGAATTTTGTGTCCTATCATTATATCTCGAGGTATAACGTACCTGAAACCTATACAGAGAGCTATCATCCTTTACAGTAAGCGTCTTGGAGTCGTTCACCGGGAAGAAGTAGCCATACTGGCATAGTTGATTAGCAATGTGGACCGCCTCTACTGTCAACATAATAACGCACCTTCATACTTGAGGGTAATGATCGTAACGACGGAAGCGTCTCTAAATGTTGCTCTTGGGGATCGTGCGGGTCACTCAAACGATGCCACATCGCGGATCTGTGTGTCGTTGTTGAGTAGAGTCTGTTCACAGCCATTGATCTTTCCGACTTAACAGTTGCCGAGAAAGATGCTCGCGAATAAATGAAATAGGTTCCATTTCTTCGCACAGAGGGAAAGATTTCTTCGGATTCGATCGAATTTCTTTAGTTGAGACAGATGTTTGTTTTTCGGAATGGAGCAAACAAACGAATGTTTGATTCGGCAAACAAAGAATTGTTTGGTTCCTCAAAGAATAAGTATCTTTATGTTAAATATTTCTTTTGTATTTTCATTCAGATATTACCAATGGTTGTCACGAGCAACAAATTATTTGAAAGAAGTGATACTACGTTAGAAGAATATTAAAGAACTTCTTTGTTTCACAGGCGGTGGAAAACAATATTTAATACATAACGAAATAAATTTTTTTCATTGAAGACGAAACATTATTTCCTCTGAATAATACTGTTTTTTTCTATCAATCAACTTGGTTTACTCTAATGAAACAACAATATTATCATCCAAACAAGATGATATTTGATATCAAATTAAGCTGCTTACGTTAAATAAATCTAAGTCAAACAAATACGCGTGTTAAATCCGAAGAAACCTTTTTGTCCGTGCGGAGGGAAGAAAAAAAATCTTGTTTCTTCTCGAGATGAGATTTTTCCCTCGGAAACCGAAAGAGATACCGAGGTTTCGACCGAGCGTATCTGGCAAATGGTAAATTCGGCTTCTATTTGCGATGAACTTACGGTGTAGATAAACACCGCCAATGCATCTTCGGTACTTTCATAAATACCGTCCGCACCGTACTTCCCCAGCCGGCTCGCCGAATTACGAGGGGCATTAATTCTCACGAAACTTACTCGATACGAGTTTTGCTCGCCCCGCGGCCGAACGGGCGCCGCGTAATCCGGCGAAATTTACGTTCTTCATTTGCACGAGCGGATCATCGCGGGCACGAGTAAAAAAAAAGGTACTACGAACCGCGGAAATCCGTGGGAATGTTCGCTCTAAACCGGGGTCGGCGGATTCGCGAATTCCCCTCCCGCGAGTATATGAGAAATGGCCGTTATTATTTTGTTTCATTACTTCCCAACGAGACAATAAGAGAAAGAGAGAGAGAGCTCGGTCGTATACACAAACTCGCGTTCGCGGTTGCGACTGAGCGATATTCCGCAACGGTGTTTTCTGTACTGTGTCAACATGTTGATCGATGCTGCGAAAGCGCCAAGCTGAAAGTACATCGTACGCGAGTGCGACTGCGTGTGGATAATAGCGAAGCGAAAGTATCGATAGATATTCGTCGATAGTATCCTCGGGCGAAGTTTTGCGGACGCGCGTCGGAGGCGTCGTGACAAAAGCGAGAGAAAGGCGACGGGGGGATTAGCGAGAGAGCGCCGACTGCGCGCGATCAGCGAGTGGCGGGTAGATAGCCAGGTAGGTAAGCGGGCGTGTAGGTAAGCGGGCGCACGCGAGTCCGTACCTGATTCTTCGATGGCAAGCCGCTCCATCAGCCACTCGATGAGGTCGTAACCTGCAACACGCAGGCAGCCTACTGTAGTGTCCTGGCCGTGATGGCCGCTTACGCTTACTCCACAACGCAGGTACCGATGGCACTCACCCATGAACGCTGAGGGGATCGAGGTGAGGAACTGTTTCTGACTTCGCACGGGTACCCCGCTCTCAGGGTCTTGCATCTCCCGCACCAGCCCCTCCATCTGCGCGCGCGAGACAGAGATTAGCGCGTGATTGATTGATCCTTGCGCGTCGTATGTTTCTAGAACGACGCGTCGGGAAACGCGGAAACGCGACCGTCATGTAATCACCGGCCGCACTGAGAAAAACCCCCTGGTTGTCGGAACGAAAGATCTCTTGTTATTTGAAAGTCTGTCAGAGGTGCAACGAATCGTAAAGTTACCGTCGCTTATCGTCCTTTGTCATTTTAACGAACTATCACCGAGCCAGCGCCCGAAGTGTTTGTCGTCGGAGTGGCGAATCGAAAGTACAAATCGTTCGCTCCCTCTACGGGGTCATTTGTCGTCATATTTACGAGCCGTTTGTCGCGACTGCCGATATTTTGTTATGTTAACGAAAGTTTTTTTTTCTCTCTCGGTGTATCGTCAATTATCCCGGCGGTTCGCGCGCGCGCACACGAAATACCAACCTTGTCGAAGGCGCAAGGCCTGTGAACGCGAGGCTCCTTTTCTTTCTGTTGTTGATTGCTAGAGGAGGCCTCCATCGCGATCGAGGCGGCCCTCTGCGTCGCTGGCAGGAGCAGTGGCGATATCGATGGCGGAGGGGGCTGGGGAGCTGGGCCGGAGACGGGTCTACCCGAACTCCATGGGGCTCTGGCCCCATCCCATCACTCCAGTCACCCCCGCACGCCCACTGAAACATCCCATTTTCCCTTGTTATCTCATCTGTTGTTTCAATATTCCTTTCTCTCTCTCTCTCCCTCTACGTTCGCGGAAGCTCGTGAGGTCTTTCACGGTGAGAGCTGCCCCTTTACGCTGCAAGATACGCCTCGTTGAGACGACGTGCGTCGAAGCGGCGCAATTATCGCCTCCTCGATGCGATTGTCATCGCACGACGTGCGTCATCACCTAATATAGACGGGATCTTCCTTTCACCGTATTATCAGTCCCGTCATCGGGACACGGCGAGACATCATCATCATCGGTCCGCCTCGACGTTCGTTCTGGGACCGACCGGGGGGCCGCTCCATCAGCGGCCAGTGGAGGGAGTGCACACTGTGAGAGCCCTCACGAACTTCCGAGCCGGTGTGCCGCCGAGTGGAATTTGCGCGACAGGGTTGCTCGCTCTCCGGCCACCGCTCCGGAGGGAAGCTTACACCGCGCGGTATAATTTCGAATTCGCTTCTCCGTTCCCCTCCATTTAATTGTTCCCGCCTCTCGTTTACGCGCATACAAACCGCAATTAGTCGGGAACGCTTTTGCAAATAGGGTCTCTAGTATGTGTATGTCCTGATTAAACCGGCGATTTTGGAATTACGCGCCATCGGCATAATTGAAAAATAAATTCTCGAATCGGCGGGACCGGTCGGGATCTCGTTCGGAATTCTCAGTCCTCGAATTGCGCCGAGATACTCGCTCTTGCAATTCGCCACGGTTGTCTTGAGGCACACGTCTCTCTCTCTCTCTTTCTCTCTCGGTGGCTCTTTTAATTCTCCTGCCAGTTCTACGATCGACGCTCGCATCAACGGGAACGAGCGCGGCCCGTTCGCTGTTCGTTATTTATGAAGACGCATCGGATTTAGAGGAACCGACAGAAATATCCACGCTCGGGACGATCCGGCTTTAAAGCGCGCTCAACGTCGCGTATTCAAAGTTTACAAATAAATAAGGCGGTCCCGTCGTCGAACAGGCCATTTAGCTCGGATAAAAGAGAGACCGGCGTTGACGCATTGCGCTTCCGCCTCCGGAACTTCCGCTCTTCCGCAGCCGCGCGATGATAATAAACAGCATAGTTCGTAGCAAACTGCAAAACGGTCGGGTCGACGCTATAAAAAACCGCGTCCCCCTCCCGCTGGCCACCCTCTTTAATCCTCGCTCGCGGTGTTTTGCCTGCGCGCCCGCGCGGATCGAGATTTACTCCATTATCCGCTAGTTTCTCTTAGTCGGTTGCAAATAAAAATCTCCGGCGATGTTTTCGCGTAAATCCGGAAAGCATCATCCTCCGGCTACGCGAAATATCGGGAAATTCGGTAGGATACGAAATATAATCTCGGCTTTGCGTTCGACTTTGATCTTTTTTTTCCTCCCCCTTTTCTCCCTATCGCGGAAGACTCCTCTACGGTCGGGGAGATGATCCGCGTCGAGAGAGAGAAGAGGAAGGGAAAGCACCTCGTGTTAAAACTTCGGGTTAGAGAGAAGTTAGGGGTTAGCCGCATTCGGTGCTAAAAGCACCGAAGATACGGGGAATCGCACGAAAGTTCTCGCGCGATCGACGCGGAAACGACGTGGAATCGAAGTTTCGTCGTTAAAAGTGACGAGTCACGAAGCCAAGTGTCGCATTACCGTCCGTCCGACCGACCGGACCGATCGGATGGCTCTTCACAGAGAGAGAGGGAGAGAGAGAGAGCGCAAAGTCCGGCGCAAATCGCCATCAAGGTCGCGAACGTGATGCATCGATGGTAGACGAGTGTTCTGAAAATGGAGATCGCTTCATGCATGTGTGATCAGGTGAGGTCGGGCATTCAGATAAAGCCGGTGTATCTCGCCGTCGTCGATATATCGGTGTATCTCGGGTTAATGAACCCGGATCTATTCGACTGGCGATAATGGGATAGTGTTCTCGTCTAGCTAAAGAAAAGCGCGCAACAGAGAGCAAGAGAGATAGAGCGATAAGGAAACAGAGAGAGGGGGGGGGGGAGAAGGAAGGGAAAACGAATACGTGGTCATTGGGTCAAGCAACACCGTGCCGATATTTCTGGCGCGAATGTCTTCAATTAGAGTCCAAGTCGTTGAAACCTGCACCTTTCGGGGTCGCTCATTCGCGTTTCTCTCGGACGTCACCGTCGTCGTCCTCGTAGTTGTCGTCGACGTCGAATTTTTCTTCTTTTTAGGGAAGCAACTTGTTAACTCGGTCGGTTATTCTACCCGGTATTCGTTATAAAACTTTTACCCCGTCCGTACTTATTTGCCGGCTTAAAATTGGAATCGGTCGGAAAGTGAAGAAGCGCCTCGGCGACGATCGAATCTCCGGAGAGCCGTGAACGAGAAATTTGAAGACGTAACTGGGAAAGTGCATTTCGAGCTAGAAGAAGACGGATAGAGAGAGAGAGAGAGAGAGAGAGAGGAGAGGAAGAGGGGTAAAGAAGCGAGTAGCTCAAATATACCGATGGAAAGACACTCGATATGAAGGGGGAAAGGGATTAGCCAGAATATCCGAATGAATCCCCAAATGACCTGAGGACGCACACAAGCAGATGCGTGGGCGGAAGCACGTCTCTTCCCTTGCATCCTCGCGCGAACCACCACCCGGGCGGCGGCCCCTCCGTCCTTCTGCTGCCGATTTACGTGCTAATCTGAAATCGATAAGTCCTCCGGCACGTCCCGAGACTTTGGGGACGTACGTTTCGACGAATTATTCAGTGCGCGGAGTTATTAATGTCCTGCTCAATTACAGGCGAGTTTTCAGCGACCGGGGGAAATCAATTAAGAACGCGCCGGCGGGGGTGGACGCCGGTGGTCCCTCGTCGCGTATCGTTAACCCTCGGTCGTCACCGGAGGATTCCGCGCGCGGTCTCCCCCTTTTTTTCTCTCCCGTCCTACGTACGTAAGAAAAGGGAAAGGGAAGAAGAGGAAAGAGAGGGAAAAACGTCCGCGTATACGCGTCATTACGTCGACGAAACGAACGTCCCCGGGTGTCGTGGGAAGTTTTATCTCGTCGTTAACTTTAGCCGGCCTCCTCCCGCCCCCCCTCCCCCGNGCCCCCCCTCCCCCGGCCTCGCGGTTTATTTGACGCGCGTTTATTCATCGTGTAATCCGGCGTTATTTATTTAACGGATCTTGCGCCGGCTTTTCGGTCAAATTGATGATACTTTTCGTTTACCAGTAGCTGATACCGAATGCGAGGTTCAATTAGCCACTTATTAAATTGCCCGCCGAGATAAATAACGTCGCCGGCGAGCGACGTGGGGATAAATTATTTGTGCGTGTATGTGTGTGTGTGTCCCATGAAAACAACACGCGCGACATCGTTTCGATAGCAGCAGCCTCCATGCGCCCCATTTCACTCGGATCGATGACTTAAATTAATTGTATCTTTTCGTGCGCTATTTAATTACTCGCTTTGCTAATTTCTTTCGTCTGATACGCATCGCGACTGTCGCGTGCGCACGAGGTGCGCGCGATCTTTCACGTCTCTTGTATTATTATTTTTTTCTCCCCACTACGAAACCGTCAAGGCGTTTTCTCTCCGGCGTCTTCGCTCCTCGTGTTTCCGCAGTCGCGCGTTCGCGTGAAAAACGGCAAGTGTCGTCCGTCTGTCGCTTTCGAGTTTATGCGGGCCATTGTCGATACTCCGCACAAAGGCGAAATGCGGGGAACGCGATCCGAGATATCCGGGCAAATCGCACCATGTCGACCAATCCTCGGAGGAGAAAGCTCGAATAAGTAATAATATCGGGCGTGAGAAATCACGGCCGTCATAAAAATCCGTCCGGAGGCAGGCGACGCTAAGCTCGCCACCTCTCTCTCTCTCCCTCTCTCTCTCTATGTGGAATTAACTGTCGCGGAATTCTCGCGACGGTGCTCGTTTCCTGAGGAGCTTTGTGCAAGACCGATAACGAATTTCCTTGTTTCCCATTCAGACGCGGGGGCATTCAGCAAAGCACGCGGAAAGCGTGCGCGGCATTAACCCTTTTCAATTGCGCCAAGTGCGTGCTGAAGTTGTGTCTCCTGGATTTCTCGGATTCCGGGCTGTTTCGAATTCTCCGACCGTTCTCCGCTTCTCGGACTGCTCTTCGTCTCTCTCTCTCTCTCTCTCTCTCTCTCTCAGTTTTTCGAATCACCGCCGCGAATTGAACGGACTCGTCGAACAGTCAACTTACGCGGAGAATGTTTCGATCATCAAGTGGCTGAGTATGCGTGTGTATGTGTGTGTACGCCTTTAATTAATTTTGCGTGTGCCACGGTCGCGTAACGAATGGCCGGCGCGACGAACGCGAAAGACGGATAAAAATAAATACGGTTAGCTCGTTCTTTGTTTCCGGCACCGCCGATAATCGGTCAGTTTGTTCGGATGACGAAACAAACCGGGAGAAAGAGAGAGAGAGAGTGCGTGCGTCACCCCCGAAATAGCCCCTAAATTGATTGAATGAATGGTTCCGCGGAGACGATGTGATTTTCGTCGACGTTCGGCGCCGGTAAATAAAACGGTCAAATCAGGGCTTAGCCGAAAGGCGTTAATCTCTCGCTCGCTCGAACAATAGCTGCGATAGATTGAAATTTTAATTGGATTTGCGCGCACCACGCACACACACACACACATTGGCAACGCGTAATCGGCAAGAGGCTGCCGAGGGGTGGTGAGATCGAAAGCCGTGGATCGGGTCGATCGGATTAAGGCCGGCTCTTCGTGTGCGAAAAATCGTCCGCGTACGACGACGATGAGGCCTGTTGTACAATCTTATATAGCATAGACGTCCAAGGGATATTCCTAAAGAAGTCCAGAGGACGTCCGCAGAGCGTCCTCCAGATAAGGTATGCCGTATGGCAGACGTCGTACGTCGGAACACAACCGATAGTCCAACGAGGAGAACTCGTTTTCCAGAAACAAATTCTCTCATCGGGCCATCAGCTGCGTTCCAACATCCGACTTTGACACACGACTCGTTATATCGATGCTGCCCGCGAGATCGTTGTTTTCGCCGGGCGCGTGCGTTAAAGAAGCGCGTTAATAGAACGGCAAGTTCACAGAGGGGTTGGCCACTCGTCGGTAACCTGAGGAAAAAGTCACAACGCAGCCCGGGTCCTGCGAGCGAGTTTCGGCGAATTGCGTGGGATGGGAATACCCTTGGGAGTAGTCGCTCGTGATATCCAATAGTCGTGGAGACATAACCTTGACGAACTACTACGGAGAGGCCCTGGTCAACCCTCCCGTTGTACGTGTGTGTATATGTGTGTGTGTGTGTCGGGACTTTTTTTTGCCACCGAGTTCCATTTCGAATCCCCGTTCGTCGAATAGCGGTGTACGTATTCATGATTACACATCTGGCTTTCAAACGGCAACAGACCCGCCGATGTTACCCGCCGTCGCGCTTTTACAGCTCTCTTTTTCACGTCACGAGCACTCGATCAAGCTATTCTGAGTAAATTTAATTAACGGGACGAACCTTGAAATGGGGGGGGGGGGATGGATATCCCTCGAAAATACACCGAATACACCAATAGGAGGAGGGGATCGAGCCGGGCGATCTTCCCCTAATAACGCCGGCGCGTTTAATAAATCGACCATGAATCATCAGCCCTTGAAAAGTCAGCCGTGGACGGGCGGATTCCAAAACGGTTTCAATATCGCGCGATAACGTTGAATTCCAATTATTATCTCTCTTGACTCGCGACCGTTATCGCGTCGATATCAACAAATTAGGGCGGCACAATGGGCGGTACGATAAGTAAAAATTATATCGTTAATGCGGCCGGAATTAATCCGTAAATTTTTAATCGCTCCACATTGTGCCCGAAACGCTAATCGGACCGAATTGCTCACATAATCTGTCTGGAATTAAATTTTCCGATAAAGCGATATGAATATATAATACATATACGCGCAGCATGCAAATGAGAACGTGAGACGAAAAGTCGGAGATTCGCGGTAAGCCGAGCTGGAGCCTCTTTGTTCTCGGATTTTTCTCATGTACACACGACACACACACACACACACACCCGGAGAGAGTGAAACGCGCGGCGTTTAGGCGATACGCGCCTCCGAGAAAAATCGTGATGTTCATTCGCGGCGGTGATTATCGTGCAAACAATTATGGACGTACCGTAATGACATCGGCGTCGCGCTAACGATGCGGCAGAACGTCCGCGAAAAAACGCAAGTCTTGCACTATCACCTTGCACTATCACTGCATCGGCACTGCCATGAATGCATCATACTACCGTATCAGAGGTCCCAGAGACGCTTTATCATCCATACGAATCGCAATAATAACGAGAGGTAAACATCTCTCTCTCTCTCTCTCTCTACTACCGCTCTTTACTTGGCACTACCATAAACGAGGGAACGCCGATGTTCGCTCGATATCAGTCTCGCAGGAACTATAGGCAATTAATGTTATACATTCTTACTGACATCGAGAGAGAAAGAGAGAGAGAGAGAAGGGAGGAACGGAGAAAGATGCTACACGACGCGTGTGGTGTGACATCGGCACTTACTACGTAAACGCACCCTTTTTTACGGGCATTCCTCCCGCTCGGCTGCTCCGCGAGCGCTCCACGGCATATTTTTCCTTTCGTCGAAGGGAACTTTTCGGGGGGAGGAGAGTAATCGGCGTTCGCCACCGCAGCACCGCACTGACAAAAAAAATCGTGTTTTCTCCGTCCGGTTCCGCGGAAACAATCTATATTACAGCGCGAATCCGTCAGCGCGCTACCGCGTAGAGCGCGAACTTGGCGAGAGAGCCCCGTTTGATGCACGGGGAGCGCGCGAGCGAGCCACCCCCTGAGAATGTGCACATGTCGCGATCGCGATGCATCTCGCGGCTTTTCGACGACGCCGGGCGCAGGGTGATATGACGTGGCCCGATATCGAATGGTCCACTTTTCGCATCGCTAAGCTTCCGGCCTGCGTGCCGTGGTCGATATTTATTGCGCCTCGGCGGAGGCCGAGGCGGCTCGACCCGAAGAAATCGACTGGATCGCGCGCGTCGCGTCCCTTGAACGACCAGCTGTTAATCGGTCTCGAGGAGGAAGCGCTCGCTCTCCCTCTCTCTCTCTCGCTGCCGCGCTGTTCCCGCCGCCGGGTAAAAATCGCCTCTTCCTCCCCCTACTCTTCCCTCCCCGGCTCACGATCGACCTACGCCGATTTAACGGCCGTCACGAAGGAGGGACGACGTTCGGAGCAGCACCACGACGACGTCGTCGCTCCTGGAGGTGTCGCGCCGCCGACGCTCGCTTGTTCTCGAAGACACGGATTTGCTTATCGTCGCAGTTGCCGTCGTCGTTGTTATCGTCGTCATCGTGCACACCCGACGTCGACGAGCGATTCACGGTATTCCCGCGAAGGATACTCTCTCTCTCTCTCTCTTTCTTTCCCGATGATCGCGTCACGGGAGGAAGGGAGAGCGACTAAGGGGGAGAAGAAGGCGCGCACAACCGGGGTACGCGACTCGGCACGTCCGCGAGGATTTTCCTCTCTCGTTTCTCCCCTACCCTTCCTTCCTTCCTTCCTTCCTGCCAGCCTGTCTGCCAGCCAGCCTGCCTTCACCCCGCTCGCACGACCATCGGACGACGCGCGGCACAAGCAATGTCGAAATGTCACAAACTATTTACTCACTCGACGAGTCAGGGCAGTGGAGCTTCATGAACGCGTCTCGCAGTGTGTATCAGGCCATCGGAGCACGGCCGAGCTCGCGGCCCTTCTTCCGCAGCTTCGAGTCTAAAGCCACCGTCCGCACCGATACGCCGTTAAGGCAGCACCGCGCGCGCACACCCGCGCTACACCACCAGCAGCAACCGCCGCTATCGCCGCCGCCTCCACCACCGCCGCCGCCGCTACCGCCGTCGCTGCTACGCCGAGCATATTTCCGCGGGGGGGAAGGTGGAGGGGAGGCAGGAGGAAGGGATGGAAACGTACGTGCGAGAGAGAGAAAGAGAGAGGGAGAAAGAGTGAAAGAGAAAGAGACAGGACGTGCGGGTATTAAGTGGGGAGAACGCGAGCAAAGCGTTTGCGCGAGAGAGTAGAGAACTATAGGCGGGCGACGGAGAGGCAGCGCGGGAAACATGCGCGCGAAAGAGAAGAACGAGGTAGATACGCGAGGAGGAAGAGCTCACGAGGGGTCGAGGGAAGCGCGAGGAAGCCGGAGAGCTTCGGTGGTAGGGAGTGCTCAGGGAACGCGTGGTGCACCAGACCCCTCCGCCGACGTGGATGTGTGCGTGTGTATGTATGTATGAATGTATGCGTGTATGTATAGTGTGTGTATGCATGCATGTACGTACGTGGGTTTATTGGGCAACGTACACACGCGCACGCGTCTATGAAAGGGTGTACGCGTATCCGACTCCGGGTATACCTTCTACTTGCGCGCTCCCTCGGCACAAGGCTCGCGCGAGGAGTCACGGCTGTCCGGTGTGTATCAAACACGCACAGCCCATGCGTGCGTTTATGCGTGTATTCACGGGTCGGAGGGCGAGAACGAGAGGAGGGTGGAAGACGCTTCTCGAAGACGCGCGCGCGTTCCTCCTCCTCCTCCATCTTTTCGGGCTCGCTTGCTCGCTTCTTCTCGTCGATGATGAGAGGAGAGCGAGAGAGAGAGAGAGAGAAGATAAACCGCGAACGTGTCATCCTCTCTCACGATCGTTCTCCGCCGTTCCCCGCATTCGGCCGCACCCTCTTCTCCGCTGGACGCCCCGGTCATTCTGTCCGCCTTTGGAGAGGGTTGCGCGCGGCCGATCATCAGCGGAGATAGCCGAAGGCGAACGAGCGCGCGAGTGGCTGGTGAAGGCGACGGGTGGTGAGGATCGAGGTCGGCCGGCACGGACGACGCGCTCTCGCGGGGGTGAGTTTCGAGTTCCTCGTACTGTTCGATGTCGATGCGAAGTTCCAGGCGGTCCTCGCGCCTCGTAAACTCCAGCCATTGTCTTTCCAGTCATTGAGCAGGCTCGCGTTCGGGGCTGGACGTTCAGGACGAATAGCTCCTGCTTAGTTGGATAGGCGATGTTACGCGCCGCGGGGGAAGGGGGGATGGTGGTGTGCGCGCGTGAGTCACGAACTTTATCCGTAGCATCGATACTAGGAATCGGACGAGGCGGGATAATCGACGACGGTTTCAATGTCGCGGCATCGATATCCACCTTCCCTCGTCGCGCGCGTGCCCACCTTCTCTCTCTCTCTCTCTCTCTCTTTCTGCTCTTCTCCCTTTACTCCCAGTTCATAAATCTTCTTCTATGTACTTCATTTGAGTGAACGCTCTCGCGCGCGAGATTATCGGACAGCCCGAGAGATTGCCGCAGCGCCTGAAGCGTCCGACAAATACGAACTACTCTCTTTCGTCCCTCCTCTCCTTCCCTCCCGGCCGACTTCAATTTCACCGGCGGTACGTCTTTTCATTCTTGCCCCCCTCCCTCTCCTCCCTATTTCCTCCCCGTCGCCCCCGTGTACCGCGCCACGGCATTCGCCTTAACCTCCGGCCGGATCGCGTACAGCGCGTATGTTTAATTCATGCCGCGCGTTATGCACGCGAGCCGAGGGGGTCGGCCCTCCCTATTTTCCCGACGCCTTGTCCTTCGTGTTTTGATTTCCCGGCGCGATGAGACGACGATGAGCGTCGTGTCCTCCTCCTCCATCGCCGCCGCCACCCTCGCCCTCTTCTCCGCCACCCCCTTCGCGTAGATGTGCGCCGTTGTGTCAACCGTTCCCATTTTCTGCCACGAGTCTGAAATGATTGCGCACGGCCTCGTGACCGCTTGTCCTTTGTGCGATCCCCCCCCCCCCCCCC